GAGATAATCGACCATGGAGAGGCAGTTAGCTTTCTACCCAGAGATTTTCGTTCGTAACTTCTCAAGGATATACCTATAGGTGTCCTTCGTGATTCTGCCATAGAGCATGGGCACCCTAAGATACATATCCAGATCTGCCGAGACTTGAAAACCAAAGTCATTGTTGATCCTAATAGCTTCATTAGCCACAACATTGTGAAAGAAACAAATATGAGTCTTGAGAGCACTAATCTTATGCCCGAAGCTCTCACAGAACTCAACGAGCACCGTTTTGATGAGTTGAACCTGCCTAGTCGAGGTGCGACTAAAGAGAATCAAATCATTAACGAAAAAAAATGTAAAAGTTTGGGGCCCCTCTTACTCAGGAAAACTGGAAGCCATGCCTCACAATCAACCAACTGATTAATGTATTGTGAGAGGCGCTCCATGCATAAAATGAAAACGTAGGGAGACAGAGGGTCACCCTGACGAATGCCACATGAGGGTACAAATTCTTCAGTGGCCTCCCCGTTCCATAACAACTACATGGAACCTGAGAAATACACTACATAATAACTCTGACGAGTGGCTATCAGAAACCAACATCACGGAGGGTATCTTTAGTAAAATTCACACTGAGTCTATCATCGGCTTTCTCGAGGTCCACTTTGATCGCCATCTAACCGACCTTGCCAGTTTTGCACCTCATAAAGTACTGACCTCTTGGGCCACAATAATATAGTCTGAGATACTCCGGCCCTCTACAAAACTAGCATGTGTGTCAGTGATGAGACTAGGCATGATGTTCTCGAGCATATTGGCAATCAACTTGGTAATAATCTTGTAAGAGACATTATAGAGGCTTATAGGACTGAAGTTCTTGACGGAAGGGTCTAGCCATCTTGGGGATCAAAGTAATTAAAGTCCTATTAACACCCTTCTCCATATCAGCCCCCTGGAAAACCTTTGTCACCATCTCATAAATCGAGTCCCCTACAGCCTCCTACTAGTGTTAGAAAAAGATTGCATGAAGGTCGTCCAGTCTAAGGGCCTTGAGTGATTTCATGGCAAACAGGATCTGACGAACCCCATCTTTTATAACAAAGGCATTAAGCATATTCAACATGTTCGTCGTGAGGGGCAAGAATCTATCCCATATTTAGTAGGTCGGAGCCTCCAACGTGTCTCTAGAGTAAAGTTCTTTGAAAAAACTCACAATCATGTGTCTGAGATGGGCTTCATCGGATACCCAGTTCCCCTCAGCATACTAGAGCATAACAATTTTATTATGTCAACGGCGAGCCATAACATGTGCGT